TTAGGAGCTTAAAATCTACTTCTGTCCCTATTTCTCTCCCTTTCTCTCTTCCTCTGTCCCCCTCCCTCTCGCTCTCCCTCACTCTCTCTTCCTCTCCCTTTCCTTTCTACTATTGCCCTGGGTAGATTTTAAGCTCCTAATAAGGACAGGGCCAAGTTTGACATCCCTCATAAACCCAAAAGCAATGCAGTTAGCATTTGTTGAGTGGACATGGATTCCCATTTTACTAGAGGGACAGTGCTCAAGCAAAGCCACATGTCACAGTGTGAGCCAGCATCCAGGCTGGGGTAGGGATTTGTTGAGAGTGTAGGGATATAACTGGGTGGGATGATCCTAGAATCCCACCTGACTCCTGAACAGGAAGACTTTGCCACCTTCCCTCTTATCTTAGGATTGGCCACCCCAGTCTAGGAGATACCCTCAAAAGTTGGTTGTTCTTCACAGTCCCAATCACAGAGTTTCAAGTCCCAGGTTTTAAACCCCATAGCAGTTACTCAGTATGTGAATGTGGCTGCTTGCTATAGATGGGATTTCACCATGTAGCCTTGCTTCTGGTCTGTACTGGCTGATATTAGCACTGCATTAATAATGTGCAGCTTTTAGGCCACCAGGATTTTTCTTGTATGTGTCCACACCTATGGATAATGCTCATAGGCAAGGTCTTAAACCTCATATACTATATAGCTCATGTTGTACATTCAGTGACATGGTCAAATGGCATGTTCTACATGTTATTAAATGGAATCAAGTCATCTTCTATTTCCTCAGGAGAATTGTGAAGCCCAGTATGGATGCCCTTTTGTTAGGGAATTTTGAGGTGCAGTACTTTGACAAGGGGGATGCTTGGACTCTGCTTCTTGGCTGACTCTCTGTTGTTGTTGTGACTTTTTAGGAGCAAATGTGAACCGAGGCCGAGGTCTGGACTCCCCTCTCCATGCAGTGGCAAGGACATCCAGTGGGGAGCTGGCCCGTCTACTCATGGACTTTGGAGCAGACACCCAAGCCACGAATGCTGAAGGCCAACGGCCCTTGGATTTGGTGCCTCCAGAGAACCCCCTGATCCAGCTCTTTTTGCAGAGAGAAGGTGCTTCTCCTTTGCCCGAACCTAAGCCCTAACCCATAGACTCCTGTGGGCAGGAGGCAGGTACTAACTGAGTTCTGACTTCTGATCCTACAAAAAAGGTCACTCCTGGCCATTACCAAATGTGGGGAGCTGAGATAATTTAGTGTTCCACAAGGTATAGCCCTGGTGATGTAACAAATAATCATCTTCTATTTGGCATGTGAGAGACAGGCTGTTTTGGATGACCTAATATTCATATGTGAGGTAGGCCAGTTTTCAAAGAATAAAGATATTGTTTTAAAATTTTAATTACTTAATTCATTTATTGATTCTGGAGAGAGAGAGATTGATTTGATACTCCACTTGTTCACGCATTCATAGGTTGACTCTTGTATGTGGCCTGACCAGGGATCAAACCCACAACCTTGGTGTATTGGGGCAATGCTCTAACCAACTGAGCCGCCCAGCCAGGGCTAAAATTTTAATATTAACTTTATCTAAAACATGCTTTAAAGTGAGCAAAAGCTTCTTCGGGGTTGTACAGTGTCCCAGGATGTCTTACTACACTACAGATGGGTCGAACTACTAGGCATTTGGTTTCTGGGGGTAAGAATATAACTAATTGAGCATTATAAGGTACAGCAATCTGGAAACATTTACTGTTATAAGTTAACCAGCACTAAGTCCACATTCCTCCATAAATAAGAACTGACACTCCTGACTCTCAACAACTAAATCTGTGGTTGAGCAAGGGGTTGAGGGCGATTCCCTGGGCTGCAAGTTAGGGGTGGGTTGGGATGGGGAGCAAAGACCCCTCCGATTATATTCTTAATTGTCCCTAGAAGAAGAGAGCAGCTAGCTTAGGACCTGCTTTTTTTTTTTTTTTTTTTTACCAGAGTGTGGACATTGAGTTTTAGGGGTTGTGGCACTTGGAAACAGGCTTCCCTAACAGAAAGATTCTGATGTCTTAATCTGCTTATTTTCTCCCCACATGCTGAGAAGTAGGGCTGGCTCTGGGCAGAACTGTGAAGTGGCCATGGAATCTTTCTTCCTCTTACTCCCACTGCCCCAGGGTACTTGCAGCCAAACTCTGCTTTGGGGGCCCAAATAAGGCATATACTCCCCAAGCGGTGCCATGAGCTAGGGAAGACTGACTCCAGGTACAAGGAACGGTCCAGTAGAAACCCCTTTATATTAAGCAGCAGGATAATCACCGGGCAAGTCTACTTGCATTTTGAAGATTTCTTGTTTTCAAAAAATTCTATCTATATATACAAGGCCAATTTCTCCAGCAGGCACAGACAGCACAATGCTTGAAGCCCATGCTGTTTTTAGGGGCCCACAGAAATAGTGTTTTTTTAAATCCTCACCCAAGGACATGTTTTTATTGATTTTTTAGAGAGGAAGGGAGAGAGAGAGAGAGAGAGAGAACCATCGATATGAGAGAGAAACATCAATCACTTGCCTCCTGCACGCACCCTGACTGGGGATCAAATCTGCACCCTGGGTATGTACCCCAACTAGGAATCAAGCCCGCCACCTTTCGGTGTATGGAACAACTTTCCAACCAACTGAGCCACACCAGCCAGGGCAGAAATGTTTTAATTTCTCTTAAAATTGGAAGGAAGAATGGATAAAACTCAACCTGGATTGTATTGATCTTTATACCAACATAGTTGTAAAATATTTTTTTTTTTAATTGGGAAAGCATTGTATTTTCAAACTGCCTCTACTGACTCTTCCCTTCCACTTTATTTCTCAAAGCCATTCCTAGACACCTATATTGCCTTTAATTTCATTGATTTATATTTTGGTGACAGGGTGAGGCCAATGATCCCACTGGTTCATAAAATATCAGTTGCCATTAGAGAGAATCACCACTTCTTTTGCCTCCATGAGTTATCTTTGGGGTGGAGTCACCTCTCAGCAGGCTGGAAGCCCATGGAAAATGGGGACAGACAAGCACAGAAGTCCAGACCTGTGAATTTAACAGTGATTTCTGTCTCTGGGTGGCCCTGGAAAGGAGTTCAAGAATATTACCTTCCCACCCACCTGGAAAAGTATCTAAAGCAGTGTCTACTCATGGCAAACAATGAAAACTAAAGTCACTTTCTCAGCCCAGCATGACAGGAGCCACCTCTGAATGTGCTTTGGCCTTAAAGCACCATGAGTGTTGCTGGAGAAGAAAAAGAAATTGAGACCCAAGGCAATGTTCCAGTTCATCAACATAGAATGAGCTGATTTTGTTATTGAGTGTGGCAAATGGCTACAAAGCGTAGTGGGTTTTCAGCTCTATTTATATGGAATTAAGGCTACAGCTGTTGTAGATCACCCAACTTGTGGGAAATAGCAGATACTCTGTTTGAACCAGTAGTTACACTGAGCTTGCTCTGGCATCCTGCTTTTCCCAAGTCTCCATCAGGCTTGCTCTTCATAATTCTTTATCAGTATCTCCTACAGTTGTTCCTAACAGTCTATCTAGCATAGGTGATTAGTCATGTCCTTCAAGGTTCCTGAGTGAGATGAGATTAAGTTGTTTCGCCATGGTGCACTTTTTGCAGTGTGCTAATATATGCCTTGAATATGCCGAACATAATCTGGAAGGTACCCTAAATCCCAACAGGGGCTTCTGAATGTACTGTGAGGGCCTGATTGAAAATACTGCATTTATTTTTTAATTGTATATGTGTCTATTTCCACCTCTCCTTGTTCTCCATCATCTGAGAAATATGCAACCCACTTTATCCTACAGCTTGTGGTGACACTACAGGAAATCAGAAACCACTGTATCCTTTTGGTTCTCTTCTCAACCCTGGCAGCGCAATTAAATCACCTGGGGCCCGTGCCTTTAACAAATCCAGATGCGTGGTCCTCACCCAATAATTATTATTGAAGCAACGTCTATGGGGTGGGGCTGAACATCGTGTGGTTTAAAGCTGCTCTCCCCCAATAGATGATTTTCAAGTGTAGTCTGCATTGGGTTCTTGAGGGTACATAGCTTTGCTTTTTAAAAATGTTTTTAATGCCCAAAAGAAAATCCCCATTACAATTCAGTACAGGGTATGGGGGTGGGAAGTCATTTCCCATCTTTTTACCCTATGACAGGGTTTCTCAACCTCATCACTATTTACGTTTTGGACCGTTGGCC